AAGTGGAAGCAGAGTGTGAAGGAGGAGTATGATTCTCTGCTAGAGAATGAGACGTGGGAGCTGTGTGAGCTGCCACCTGGGAAGAAGGCCATTTCTTCCAAGCTGATTTTCAGGCACAAGTACGGACCTGATGGGGCGCTGACCCGCTGCAAGTCAAGGCTTGTGGCTAAGGGGTTTCAGCAGACAAAGGGAAAGGACTTCAACGAGCTCTATGCTCCTGTGGGGAAAGGCACAACACTTCGGGTGTCATTGGCAATGGCAGCATACCGTGGATGGCGGGTGAAGCAGATGGACATCACCACCGCCTTCCTCAATGGGATCATTCTGGAGGAGCTGTACATGTTACAGCCTGAGGGTTTGGATGATGGGAGCGGCAGGGTGTGCAGGCTGAAGAAGGCCATCTATGGCCTGAAGCAGGCTCCTCGTGCATGGTACCACAAGTTAGAGGAGACTCTGCTGGCTGGGGGTTTCAAGAAGAGTGAGTGTGATCACAGTTTGTTCCTGCTGCAGGACAAGGAGCAGTTTCTCATGCTCCTGGTGTATGTGGATGACATCCTGCTCTTCTCTGAGTCGTCTGCAATGATTGAGCATGTGGAGGAGATACTGGAGATGCAGTTTAAGTGCTCCAAGATGGGAGATGTGAAGTACTATTTAGGGATGCATGTGGAGAGGGACCTTGACAAGGGAGTGTTGAGGTTGCACCAGAGAAAGTATTGTGAGGGGCTGGCTGAGAAGTATGGGCTGCAAGATGGAGGAAAGCCAGCCACCCCACTGCCTTCGAGGTTCACTGTGGAGCCCTGTGCTGATGAGGAGGTGGTGGGTGAGAGTGACAGGAAACTTTTTCATTCCATGGTTGGGGCACTCAACTATGCGGCTAACCACACACGGCCTGACATTGCCTTTGCAACATCCAGGCTTGCCAGTGTGGTTTCACGCCCCAGTCATGAGCAGCTGGAAGCGGCCAAGAGGTTGGTCCGCTATGTGAGTGCAACGGCATCAGTGGGTTTGGAGTACAGTGCTGTGAGGCAGAGGCTGCAGAGGAGTGCAGCTGATTTGAGCAAGGGGGAGATGCTCCTGACCTGCTACACTGACGCTAGCTTCAACTCGGTGAAAGCGAATGGCACCAGCATTGGAGGCTATGTGTGCCTGTTCGGAGGTGGTGCAGTGAGCTGGCGCAGTAAGAAGCAGAATGAGGTGGGGCAGTCCTCGTGTGAGACAGAGTACATGGCCCTGCATCATGGGGCAAAGGAGGTGGTGTGGCTGAGGCGTTTATTGGAGGAGATTGGAGTTGGTCAGAGGGAGCCGACTGTGATTTTCTGTGACAATGAGTCGGCGGTGAAGCTAGCGAAGAATGCTTGTCTTCATGGGCTGACCAAACACATCAGGCCTAAGTGGCACTGGGTGAGGAGGCTCCTGGACAAGGAGGTGCGGCTGGAGATTGTGAAGACCCATCAGCAGGCGGCTGACATTCTCACCAAGCGCCTGGCTGAATCTGAGCATTGGAAGGGCATGAAGCTTGCTGGGATGAGTGTGCATTGAGGATGCATGCTTGAGCTATGGCATGTGGGATGATGGTTGGCAGCCAGAGGGGGAGTTTGTTGAGTGATGCTACCATTCGCATTCACGTCTGTCTGCCTCCCATCATATGTTCGTGCGTTGCATGCGTGTTGTGAGTGTGTGCAAGAATTTGTGTTTTGTGCGGTTTGGTTTTTCTGAGTGTGTGTGTGAATGTTATTTGGCTTGAGCAGATATCTGAAGTGACTCCTCTGCTCAAGAGCTTTCCGAGGAACCAAGTATCGCTTCAATCGGAGCACGAACTAGAAAGTTACGAATGTTGGAGTTCGTATGCTTTTGATATTTGGTTGTGGTGACTATGGGAAGTTGTGGGGTTGACTCAATATGGGGTACAGACTTTTGGGGGTTGGGAAATTCGTCTTTTCTACTGTAGTTGCTGCCAAATGGTTGGGAGAAACCAAACCAGGTTGGCAAGTGTGGCCAAGTTGGGTTGAGGTGGATTGTGGAGGTTGGGATAGTGACAAAGGTCAAAGTTGGGTTGCCTATGGGGAAGGGAATTGTATGGCATGGGGTTTCCTTGGTTGGGGACTCTCTTGGGACCTTCCCTCTCGTCCTCCTTATCCCTTCCACCTGGTTTAGTGCTACTCTAATTCTCTTGTGTGAACTTGTGTGAACTTTGTGATTGAGTTAAGTTCTTATGGCAGCATACCCCCCTGTGCGCCGAAATTGATAAGTCGAGATTTAATTCACCTCTTGATACGTTTCAACTTGGGAATTGTAGCCACGGAGTAGGGCTACAACATATATGAGTTTAGTGAAGTTTTGACTGTGCACTTTTCGTCGACGGCGTTTCTTGTGAGCGCAACTATTCTGTCCAGAAATAGGGACCAACGATTTTGAGAAATTTAGGCACCTAATCTTCATAGACTCCGTCCTTAGTCTCTAACAGAAACAGCGGGAAGCGAGACAACGTCGTTCTTCGTGTTGCTAGCACCGCGCTTAATCTCCAACTTCATCTTGTAGAGCCGCCCGGTACGCTCGCCTTCAGCCACCAGATTTCCTGCACTGTCCCACACTTTGGCTTTCCCCCTGTGCAAGAGAACGGAGGCACCTTTCTCTTCGAGTTGTCCGGCTGAGAGCAAGTTTGCTCCCAAATCAGGAACAAACAAAGCTTTATTGACACAAAATGACTTACCATCCTTTTCGAACTCAAGCTTGCCGACTCCTTTGATTGGTACTTTGCCAAGATCAGCAAGAGTCACAGCTTTTGAGTCATATGAGGGCTGAAAATCCTTGAGAATGGACTGATAGGGAGTCATGGTTTCAGAGCAGCCACTATCAAGAATAAACTCCTCACTACTAGTAGAGAAAACATGCATGCAAGTAGCAGCGTTAAAAAGGACAGGACCATCGGACTCTTTGGACTCATCTTGACTTGTAGAATGACTTGCTATATTTGCTATGGCTGCCTTACCTTTTTCAGATAGTAGCTGAGGTGGGGGGACCCAATTAGGAGGCTTCTTAGGACAAGCATACCACGGGTGACCCCACTCATGACAACAAAAACACTCAAAATTAAACTTTTTAGCATTCGGGGCTTGGCTGAAATTATTGACTCTTGGCATATTGACTCTTGCATTCCTAGGCTGGTATTGATTGGGAATCGAAGGCCTTGGCTGGACATAGTGACTGGACTTATAGGGAGGACTTGACTGAGGAAAACGAGAGGGTTTGTATGGGTTGGAAGGTGACTGAAATTTCGTACCGTAGTAGGGTTGAGGGCGGTTTGGGCTGAAATTTCCTTGCCTCTGGAATTGGTTGTCATATCTTGTGGCTGCTGCAGCACTCCACGCACCTTCGTCACTCCGCTTGTTCCGTGCAAGGTCTCGACTCTGCTGCTCGTTGACAAGGGCCTCAAAGATGAACGCACGACTCTTCATTGACTGCGGGAGCGCTTGTAGTGTTGCACGGAAAGTGTCCCACTCCGGTGTAAGGCCGGTGAGGATGACGGTCTTGAAAAGAGACTCTGGAATCTCCAAGCCGATCGCTGCTGCTTCCTCCAGCATTGCTTCAGCTCGTTGTAGGTAGGCTTGTGCTGATTCATCTTCTTCCATCTTCAGATTCATGAAGCGGCTCCACATCTCGGCTTGGCTGCTCTCGGATTTTGACTGGTGCATAGTCTTCAGTCGGCTCCATGCTTCCTCTGCACTGTTTGCCTTGGTAGAACAGGGCAGGAGCGACTTCAACTGCTGCTCGTGAATGCTATTGAGTAGGTAGAGGAAGGCCTCCTTGTTGCGTCGTTCGTAAAGTCGTTTTTCAGCTTCTGAAGCATCTGCTGCTGGTTTGGCTGCTTCTCCAGTGTAGTAAGGCCACAGATCCAGAAGGGATGCAGTGAGCTCAAACTGAGTTGCCCATGTTGGAAAATCTTTGCCGTTGAACTTGGGGAGGTGAAGCTTAGGCATGAAGGAGGTGAGTGGTGAGTATGTTGTTGAAGGACTGCCTGGTGCAACTGCTTCCACTAATCCAGTAGCTGCTGATGTTGACTCTGAAGCTCCTCCGGCTGGCTGGAGTGCAGGACCAGATGGATTGTCTCCCGCCATGTTCGTATGGTGCTAGGATAGGAACGTGGTGGGCTAGGTTGATCGAAACGACAAGCTCTGATACCAACTTGTAAAACAGAGTAGCTGTGACTACTGGAGGGCTGGAAACTTGGCTGGAAAGTCTTAGCAGGGCTGCTGGAATTGACTGGATGAGGTAAAACTTCACTATGTTCAAGATTAACAAGCCCACTAAAGCACAACTCTAGGCATCACAAACAAGACAGATTGAAAGCTCAAACTAGGCTGATAGACAATGTAACTTCCCTGGTAACTTGGGCACAATCTAGATTGGATGGACCTTGAGTGACTTTGAGTGCCACATGAGGTGCATGAATAAGAAAACTCTGGATATTTCTGTTATAGCTGATTCTGATGTGTAGAAACCTGTAGAAACTGCCAACACTTCGGTTTGAAGGCAGCTTTGAACTATATCGAGTCTTCGGCTGAAATCTGATTGGTGGTGGAACTTTCGAAGTACTTCCCGAAGCTCTGATTCATCGCCGACATTCCCCCTTGCTGCTGCTTGTGTGCAAAGGGCTGGGGCGGCAGAAACTCGATTCTCCAACACTTCAATCTAGATGCTTCTTCCACCTTCTCACACATTCCTTCTCGATTTCTCTCTCCCTTCTCACGCCGTAGGCCGATTTCCACCGTTTCACCTAGAATCATCCACGCGCTTCCATTTCGCCGTCATTCCGCCGTCGTAGAGACTTTCGCCATAGGTTCCGTGGTTGGGCGAACCAACCCTAACAGTCGCTTCCCGTGCACTCCACGGCGTAGCACGCGCCGCACGCGTCGCCCTTCTTGTAGAGCTTGCTGGGCACCATGGCGGTGAGGCCGTTGAAGAAGTATGGCGCGTCAGAGAAGTATCCGCACGATTGCGCCATGCTGTTCACGCGCGCGCTGAGCTTGGCGCGCGCTTGCCCGTCGGGGAGCTTCTTGCCCGCCACGAGGTTCCGCAGCGCGTCGAAGGAGAAGTCGGGGAAGGTGGGCGCGGAGAAGAAGGACGCGGCAGCTGGCGCGACGAGCAGAGGCAGCAGCGTCGCGAGGAAGACCAGCAGCACCGGCAAGGTCGCGCGCACGCCTCCAAGGCGGGCCATGCTGGCAGGAGGATTGCGGCTGACTGGAGTCAGCAGGTGGGGCTGGGGTTGTTGGTTGCACGAGGGGACAGCTTTGGCTAGCTAAATCACCGTGTCAGAGAACTTGTTGAGAACGTTGGACTACAAATGCTGGAAGCTTACTGTCTATGGGAACAGCCTATGCTTTCTCGAAGCCTGGGGAATTTCCTTTTATGGTTGTGGAGTCGGGGCGATGGTCGTGGGCTTGCCTAGCTTGAGAATGAAGCGGCTACCGTGGCTACGGCCTGAGAGGGCCGGGAGTTGCGGAGAGAGTGAGTGTGTAGTAGCGGGACAGCCGCGGAATGCGTTGCCGCGATAATTGCTAGGTCTACCCTTGGAAGTAATGGAGAAATGACATGGAGCAAGTCCCTGACAGGGTGAGATCGAGACTCCGCGCTGCTGACTACTGAAACCTCGTCGAGCCGCTTGTATGTGTGTTGGTCATCTGGTGATTTTGAAGACGGTGACGGGGCGCACAATTATATGATTCCAGTGCGCATTGGTTGGGAATGAAACCAAGCCCAACTACTCGCGAAGAACGTGAGGGTAACACTCACTTTTCGCTCCTACCAACCAATCACCCCAAAGGAATGCTGCATGGCGATTGCGAGCAGCAAAGTGTTACAAAGTGACGGAATCAGGGTCGAGGCGAGTGTCGCGAGGTGGTAACGGACTACTGTTAGGTTGTTGGGTGTACAATGGCGGGGATAGTTCTGTACGCGGTATGCGGTGTGACGCTACGATAATAAATATTCACCAATTCTATCATCCACGTTCAAGATTGATAGATTTGGTGAATGCTTGTTTTGTGTCTTGGAATTTGCGCGGGAATGCCGGACTTCTGCCGCCCGCCGATTCGCGCCTGCTGACTGGATTGAACCAGCCCGCGCATTGTTGCAGTGGGTGGGTGCTGCTCTGCAAGGCAAGAATGGAATGCGAACGCTCATCAGGCTGCCATCGCATGCGGTTCGGATGGGGTCCTTCGGCACGCGTCACATTACCAGGTTCGATCGTGTACAGGCTCGTCTTCTAGAAGGGTTAAACACGGTTCTCTAGGTTTTTGATGCAAAACTCTTGGTACAGTGCGGTGGTCGATATTGGACGATCGGTCGTCGTTTGTGACGCGTCCTCAAACTCCTTCAGTCACAGAGGAATTGCGAGACTGTGTCAGATATATTCGACACAGAACACAAATACGATAAGGATTGAGAAGGCTGGATTGAAAAGAGCACGAAGAGTTTAGGAGCTCGTGAACAGGGCTGGGAACACCATTCTTAGTATACCCTGCGTCTTCTCAGGGAAGCCAACGCGATGGCAGAGACATATAGATTCGAGTCCTCAATTTTCGTGGTAGCATTTATCAACTGTCTCTTAGGGTGCGCGGCGCAGTCGTTATGGAGTTGCGACATCTCGCAGGGAAAGTGGGTGGCGGAAAGCACGCTACCGCTCTACACGGGCAACTCGTGTCCCTACATCCGCTCGTCGCAAAACTGCCTCAAGCAGGGTCGCCCGGACATGTCGTACCAAAAGTTCCGCTGGCAGGTGCGTTCCGTCCGACGGAGTCCGTCGACCAGTCACGGTGTAGCTAGTACTATTTTGGTATCTATCCCTCACCACCCTGCGCACGTTCATGCTCTCTCCTCGCGCCTTCCCGCGGTGCTCCCCTCGCCCCCCTCCAGCCCAAGGGGTGCTCTGTGAAGCGCGTGACGCCGCGGAGTTTGGCGGAGCTGTTTCGCGGCAAGCTGGTGGTGGTGTTCGGCGACTCGCTCTCCAAGAACTTCGCCGCGTCGCTGCAGTGCATGCTGTACGTCGCCGACTCTGCCGCCGCTAAGTCGTACCGCCTGGCGCAAAATAAAACCGCCGAATGGGGCGTCGAGGTACGTGCGGGAGACGTTGAGGCGCCGTAGTACGCTTGAAACACAGCCGCTTATGCAAGCGCCGACACGTCGCGCCGTCTCTCCCATGCTGCCATTGCTCGACTCCCCATTCAATTCTGGCACCCGTCCGCCATCTCATTCTCTCCGTGTTGCGCGCCTTGTGGCCCGGCGCGACTGCGCAGTTCCCGTCGTACAAGATCCGGTTCGTGTCCGTCTTCTCCAACTGGCTCAACAATGCCACCAGCCTGCCCGATAAGAACGGCGTCGAGCAGCACCGCATCGATTTGGACGGCCTGGATCAGCGCATCAAGGACGTGCTGCCCATCGCTGACATCGTCATCTTCCAGGTACGTCCGCGCGCACCCTCGCTTCCGCGCCCAGCCCCGCATCCGCGCCCTCGCGTTCGCGCCCAGCCTCGCATCCGCGCCCTACTTCGCTTCCGCGCCAAACCTCGCGTCCGCGCCTGCTGTCGCGTCATCCCGCACAGCTCCGCAACAGCGAGCCTACTTCGGGCTTCCATACTCCACTCTCTCTCCTCCCGGCGCATCGCCCCCCCTGCTGTATGTGTGGCGCAGGCGACGGCGTGGTGGTTGCCGCCCATCAACCGGTGGTACGTGAACGGCACGGAGGTGACCATGAACGCGACGGCGGCGTACGCGCGCGGACTGACGACCCTGCGGGACTACGTGGCGGAGAGCAGCCGCAGCAGCGGCAGCGGCGGGTTCAAGGGGCGCGCCGTGGTGATGGGCGTGTCGCCGTCGCACTACAACCTGCCCGTGAGGGGCGTGAAGAAGGGGAAGTGCAACGTCACCGCCATGCTCACCAGCGCGCAGGTGCGGGGGGGAGCGCGGGTTGGAGGGGGAGCGCAGGTGGGTGGGGGGAGAGCAGATGGGCGGGGGAAGCGTGGGTTGGTGAGGGAAGCGCGGGCGTGCGGGGGAAGCACGGGTGGGAGGGGAAAGAGTAGGAGAGATGGGGAAGTGAAGGTGGGAGAAGGGGGAGCACAGGTGGGAGAATCCAAAATAAAAGAGGGAAAAGGAGGGAATATTTTCCACAATGCGTAATTTAGCCTCCATTCCAAATGACTCTGCCTTGCCTCCATTCCTTCCAAACTGCCTCCCCAGACGGCCACTGTGCGAGGCGGAGACGGCGCGTTGAGTGATCTGAGGGCCATCCAGCAGCGTGTGCTGGGGGGGTCAGCGGTGGTGTATGTTGATGTGAAGCCCATGAGCGACTGGCGCCCCGATGCACACATCCAGAACTGGAGCGTCAAAGGTAAGATCAGAACGCATTGGTAGTACTGTAGTATGGTATCTGAACTGGCCAAGTGGATAGTGGAGAGCTTTGCTGGTTGGCTGCCCTTTGTAATCAATCTTTGTGCAACTTGTTTTGTGACCTGTATCTGTATCCCATTTTGCCACAGGGGGAGCACCAGATACAAAGAAGAATGACTGCCTTCATTGGTGTGAAGGAGGAGTTACTGATGCATGGGTGGAAATGCTCTTCAACAAGCTCCAATAAATCTATAACATGCCGTACCGTATGACAAACCAGTTTCTGCCTTCAGTGATGATAAAGTACCCCCCATGTGCTACAATGCAGACCAGAGTGAGTCTGGGTGGGGGGGAGTCAGGCTGTGGGTGTTTTCCCTTGTGAGTTGAGAGGAACTGGACAGGGGTGGAAGCTTCAGGTGAAAGATTACATAAGGACCCGAACTGCAGCATTCTCCGTGCAAATGGTTGCGTGCGACCTTGCGCCTATGATATCCAACCAGACGTTTTTCCACCTGGGCTGATGGATCAGCCTAGCCCAAAATGGGGCCCTGGCTTGAGCCCAGCACCCAACCCAACACACTGCGGTACTACAGTACTACAAGGGGAGCTTTCACCATGGCATGGCATAGTCACCAGCAGCCACTCTCATTCACCACATGCCCCATGCCCAGCCACGTCAGTCTGAAATACAACAAAAGACCTCACACCCTAATACATCAAAGGGGGAGGGGGCGGGAGACTATCTGGCACCAGCACACCCTTGAGCTCCGCACCCCACGTGGCACCAGAGGACGAGCTTGCAGCCAGCACAGCGTACCCCGTCACAGTAAGCGGCTCACCCATGCTGCCAGGGCCCTTAGCAGCATCTTTCTTGGCACCCTGGTTCTTCTTCTTCGCCCCCATGGCCTTCCCAAGGGACTTGAAGAGGTCAAAGAGCAGCATCCTCCCTTTAACACCACTCTCCATGCCCTTGCGCCGGTTCCCAGCAGCTCCACTGGTAGAAGTAACTCCAGTATCGGGAATGCTGGGAATCGCGGCGAGCAGGGTCGTCAGTGCAGCGGAATCCGCGTTCTCCAGAAATCCGTCCAGGCGCATTTCGGAGTGCAGCAGCCACCAGCCAGAGCGGACGATCCAGTCAGTGGAGACGACGGGGAGAGAGAGGAAAGACGTGGCTGCAGCGTCGCACGCAGCGCCCTGCACTATTGCAAGGGAATCGGGCGGGCCCCCGGTTGCATCCACCAGCATGGCCTGGAACACAATGTTGTAGTTGCCAGTGTCGTTCCTGACACACAGCACACACGCGGCCACACAGGTACGGTGGACAAAGAGCAAGGAGGGAGGGGTTACATTCGAGCAAAGGCATCATCATCAGCTCGAGCATCGGTGAATCGAATGCCAACACATTTGGACACATCACCTGCCAGCCAGGCCAGCAGCTGCGCGCTGCGCACTCACTTGAAGATTCCGAATCGGAAATCCGCGTGTTCGGTGGGGAATGCGGTGGAGCAATTTGCGAGTGGAGCTCCACCAGCGGCTGGTGCCAGGGGGGTGCAGTGCGGTGAGGGAGCAGGGAGGGTGGCGCAGAGGGAGGGAGAGAGAAGGGAGTGCTTGTGTTGAACATCGCAACGCTCCTCACGGACAGGTGGCACGAGAGAGAGAGGTGGGAAGTATGGAGGGAGGTGAGAAGACAACAACAAGCGATCACCAGCGACACAACAGTGCAGTGCAGAAGCGACGCGTCAGCATGTGAACTCAACACCACACCAGGGCCAAACTCCCAGCTTCCCTTCCGCCGTTCCCCCAGTCCCCATTATTCCCCAACTGCCCCTGGCCCCGCATGACCGCAAGTCTCGTCCCCGGAACCAAGAGCGCGGGCGCGACGCGACAAGCACGTACCGGTCAGGTTGCCCACGGCCGTCAAGTTTAACGGCCCGAACACCGGCGAAGGCCCCATGGGGGGCCCTCCAGGCGGTCCCCCCGGTCCGCCGGGTCCACCAGCGCCGCCACCAGGGGGACCGCCATTAGGCGGACCTCCTCCGCCCGGTCCGCCGGGTCCGCCGAATCCACCGGAATATCCGCCAGAGCCTCCGCCCGTGCTGGCGCCGAACCCGCCACCCGGCCCGCCAAAGCTTCCGCCAGGCCCGCCAGGTCCGCCGGGTCCGCCAGGTCCGCCGGGTCCGCCGGGACCTCCTCCTCCCGGAGGTCTGGAGAGAACTGTACGGGCACGCGAGACAAAGGGGAAGGGGGGCGGGGATTGGGTGTCGTGTGGAAGGGAGGTGGGGGAGGAAGAGGAGAGATATTGGGCAGAGGGGGAAGGAGAAATGAATATTACGCCGAAGTGGTGAGAGGTGTGATGAGGAGATGGCTTGGAGGCGCGTGGGGAAAGGGCACTCTGCAGGCTGCCGCGCGTGTAGCGAATTGACCGTTTTTACGTGGATGGGGGGGAGTGCGAGGGAAGGTCGCAAACGCGCACTCCGGGATGGCTTACCAGGAGTGATTGCTAGGAGAAGGACAGCCAAAGCTGCTAACGGTCTGGTGCCCATCATGGTCGCGAGTATCTGGAGAGGAATGACTTGAGTGCAAGAGTGAAGAGCTTCTATTCACTAGTGACAGTGCCGTCTGACTAAGTCAAAACACAAGCAACAAGAAAGGCTGTTTGGTTGGAGGAGCTGAGACAGAGAGCCGGGTAAGGCACATGCACCAGAACGTGCTCTGTGCTGCATTGTGCGATCCTCGTCAGCAGGGATTGGTCAGCTCCACTCCACTCGATCGAACCATGGAAGCGGAAGAATAATGTTGACCAAAAATGTGCTAGAGGTGGCGGAACGCGGAACGCGGAAAGCTTCAGGCGCGAAAAATGATGGCGGAAAAATGATGGCGGAAAAACATGCGCTGGATCAGACACATCTTCAGCCCCGACTTGACAATTTCTCAGACCGTGTGTGGAGAGTGTGCAAGTCGGAGTATTTTTCACACACGTGTTCACGGGTGTGGAGGTCAATGTGTGAAAAAAAATCCCATCCCATGCGATTTGGAGTGAGAAGGTTGGTCGAGAGTGGCAGAATGAGATTTCGCATACACCAGATATTCGACAATTTCACGCGCCGCGTTGGGGGCGGCGGTGATTGTTGCTTTCGCCTGGTGCTTTTATCGTTTCAGTGTCACATTTCCCTGCCTATTGCCGTCTTTGCTCCCAAAATGTGCTTGTAGTTACGTTTTTTTTAACTGTGGCCGGCCTGGACTAATCATTTGTACAGAAATTGCCTCGTCCTTAGCGCAATTACATAATACTGTAGCATCTTTCCACCATATTTCTTCACCATTTTGCATATGAATGCTTAGTTGACCACGCGTGTGGTCATCATAAAATTCGATTCGATGTGACATAAACGCATCGCTCCCAACCTTTTATGTGAACGTACCGAGTAGGTGGCATAATCGCATGTGGTTCAAACGAATAAGAGAGTGTACGTAGTTGAGGGTAGGTGGCCAAACCAGAGAGAAAATGCGGAAAAGAATCAAACCTTGAGGCAACTGAAGTTGGGGAAAGGGAAAGTACATCCCAGCTCCTTAGTTTCAAAAATATCTCAAATTGAGTTCTAAGTTTACCCAAAACGTCTACCTTTGTGGAATTTCGCTCACGCGAGGCCCAAAGTATGCTCAAAACTGGTCCTGCCGGGCAAACATTTCGACACGTGTCCATTTCGCACCAAGAAATTCTGGACGGGGCAAAAAAACATAATACCTCTAGGGAAACATGACACATTTTCGGGAGGGATTAACCCTGTTACAATCCCAAGTGGGACTTAGCGAAGGATCGCTCAGGGTTGATCGCAGAGTAGTGTTGCAGCGGAAGTTTGAATCTCAGGTCAGGGTGAATGTAAATGACTGAGTTGATAAAAGCATGCATACATCGGGTTTATATAAGAATACAGGGGAATACGAAAAGACCTAGACTAGCCATGTACTCTAAGGGGTACATTCCCTTATTGCAGCGAAATTAAAACCGTGCGGCGCGGGAACCCGTTTCAAACATGTTCCCGCTCTTTTCACTTCAAATGTTTCTGTCTGCATCGGTCTTGGTCAGACGGTTGTTGCGTCGCTTCGACTCTTCTGACTCCTCGACTTCGTACTCGGTAGAGTCGGCTCCTGCAGCATACAGAAATGCCTACTCATGCAATTTCATATCGTAACACTCCCCTTCATTCCTGGGCGCAGGAGGAGCTGACTCGTTTGACTACTCCGGTGAGGTCAGAGCAGTGCTTGTACTGCTGACGTGGCAGGCGCTTGGTGAGGAAGTCTGCTGCCATCTCAGTAGTCGGGCAGTAGGCGAGGTCAACTTTTCCTTGGTCAATTTCGTCCTTGACGAAAAAAGTACCGGAGTGCGATGTGCTTCGTGCGGTTCACGAAACCTGGCTTGTTCGCGATCCTGATGGCACTCTGGTTGTCGCAGTGGAGGCGAAAGGTTGGCGAAGTTGGAATTTTCGCTTCCTGTAGCAGCTCCTGCAGGTACAGGCCTTCGCGAACCGCTGCTGTCGCGGCGATGTATTATGCTTCAGCCGATGACAGGGCAACCAGCTCCTGCTTCTACGAGTTCCAGGAGATTGGCCCAGTTGGTTCCAAGCGAAAAACGAAGCCGGTTCGGGACCGTCGATTTGCAGGGTCAGCTGCATGATCTGCGTCCACGTAGCCGTTGAGGTTGAAGGAGGTCGTTGTCAGCGTGGAGTAGGAGAGCCCAATGTCAGGTGTAGAGATGAAGTACTGCAGGGCGCGCTCCAGGTCCAGCTGGTTCTCAGCTACTGGCTTGCGGGAATATTGTGCCAGCTGGCTAGCGATGTACGAAAGGTCGGGTCGGCAGGTGACAGAGGCGAATAGCAGGCACCCCAACTTCTTCTGGTACATTTGGAGCCCTGCGGGTGACAGAGGTTTGTTGTCCGGTTTGTAGTTGGCGCTGGGGTTGCGGTAGGGAGTTGAGAGTGGTGCTGATGAGATGTTGAAGCGTTCCCCCAGCTGCTCTGCGTACTTGGAGGCTGACAGGTGAATTGCTTCTGGCGCGTAGGTGATGTTCAGCCCCAAAAACTGCTTCACGTTGTGGTTGATAGTGATGTCCACGCGCTGCGCCAGGTTCTCCTCAAACTGGTTAAGGAGTTTGTTGCAGGTGCCCGTGTACAGCAAATCGTCGACGTAGACTGTCAGAAGGATGTAATCGCCGCTGAAGTGAAGGCGATACATTCCCGGGTCGTGCGGCAGCTGCTTGAAACCGATCTCCAGGAGAATTTTGTGCAGATGCTGCTGCCAGAGACGGGGCGCCTGCTTGATCCCGTAGAGGGACTTCTTCAGCTGACAGACTCTAGGATCCCCTTCTCCGTAGGTGTGAGGCTGCTCCACGAAGATGGTGGCGTCCACCAACGCATATAGAAACGTGTTCTTCACGTCGATTTGTCGTAGTGGTAGGTGCTTAGCGGCGGCAATGGCGAGTAGGATTCTGACGGAGGTGTGACGACTGACGGGAGCGAAGGTCTGGTCGAAGTCGATGCCGTGGCGCTGATCGTACCCACGTACGACCCAGCGTGCCTTGAATCGCTCGATGGTTCCGTCAGCGTTAGTCTTCAGGCGAAAAACCCATTTTCCGCTGAGTACCCTTCTCCCCTTCACTGCTGCACGATCGACTAGAACCCACGTGTCTCGAGATTCCAGCGCTTTCAGGTCCGCATCCATCGCAGCACGCCACTCCTTGGCGTGAGGACCGGTCAGAGCCTGGCGAGGATTCTTTGGCTCCACGGCCCGTGCAAGAGTAGTGACGGACGTGTGTAGGCCGAGTAGTTGCAGGCCGGACACATTGGTGGTGTCAGTGTTGGTGGGGACTTCCACCACGTCGTCATCTCCGCTCTCGTAGCCGGGCGTTGTGGTGCTTGCCTCTGCTTGGCGCCGTGATGGACCTGGCGCGGGATCGTCGTCACTGTCATCGTCGTCGTCGTCGCGTGGGTGAGGCGGGATGCTGGGGTGTTCGTCGGTGTCGTCGCGGTCCAGTGCTGCTGTTGCGGCTTCGTCTTCTGGAGTTGCAAAGCTGCGACCGCTGTTGACGTAGCCGCGTGCTTCGTTACGTCGCTCGTCCTCGATCCACTGCTTCAAGGTGAGCCGTTCGTAGAAGAGAATATCACGCGCGGGAACAACTTCCTTGCTGTCCATGTCGAGGATGAGCCAACCCTTGTGCTCATTACTGATGCCCAAGTGAATACCCCAGCGCGCGCGATGAACGAACTTGCCGATGGTGGCCGATGTGGGCCGGTACTGCACCATGCACCCCCAGACCCTTAGCATGGAGGGGTCTCCCCTTGAGCCGGTCCACTTCATGTGAGGGGACAGATTGTCCCTGTTGGCGGTGGTGGAGAGAAGGTTGTGCAGACGCACCGCGTGGTTCATGGCGTAGGGCCAGAACATCTTCGGCAGGCCGGACTGGTTCATGAGTGCGCGCACTTTTGTCATGAGGGTGCGGTTAACCCTCTCTGCGACGCCTTGCTGCTGGTGAGCGTAGGGGAGTGAGATCTCATGCTTGATCCCTTTCTCTGTGAGGACACTCTCCAGTTCGTTGCTGCGGAATTCCTTAGCCCCATCACTCTGCCATATCTTCAGCTTCCTTCCTGACTGGCGCTGCGCGTGCGCGAGGAAGATGCGGAATACTTCCGGAGCCTTGGAGCGAGCGTCGACGTTGGCGATCCACACATGGCGCGAGTAGGCGTCAATGAAGGTGAGGGTATATTTCTCGCCGTTGATGCCGTCGAAGGTGAGCACGATGAAATCGCTGTATACTTTCTCCAACTTCTTGTAGCGGTTGGTGCTCGGCTCCAGGGAGGGGTAGGCGCTGTGGGAGAGAGCGGCTGTGGGGCAGACAGTGCAGGTGACTGGGTGAGGGGTGTTGTGCGGTTCTGTTCTGTCGGGGCGCAGCAGTGCTCCTGGCGGAAAGACTTTAGCGCGGAGGCAGTTGGCGAGGGTCTGGCGCGAGGGGTGTCCCAGCCGCTGGTGCCAGAGATCATCTTCGGCGCGGATTCCGGAAGTGCGCTTGTAGCGAGCGAGGTATTCTGCCACTTCTGCTTCCGTGACTTGCGGGATCTGGAGTGGGGGTTCTTCCTCTTCTCCTGGTTCTGCTTCGTTGTCCGGCTCCTCTGCTTCTGCTTCTGCCGTTGTCTCCCCTTCTGCAGGTGCCGTTGTGAGGTAGAGGGCGAGGAAGTCGCGATCGGGAATGATAGTGAGTGGAGTCGTGGTGCCTTCAATGAAACGCGCGAAAGGATCTGGGCGGGAGATTGGACCAAGTGAGTCCCGCAGAGGAGTTGGTGGTTCATTCCCCTCCTCAATCTCCGACCAACGATCACGCCACCGATAGGGCGAGGAGGGGGGTGAGCGGGTGCGCGGGGGTCGACCGAGTGGGATGGGGACACGAGGGGATGGTTCTCTGCGCTCAACTTGCATCTCGCGTTCCATCTCTTCTTCTTCTTCTTTGGTGATTGGAGCGTCCACGTATTCGTCTCCTCCCCATCCGCCGGTG